GGTTTGACCACAAAGGGAATTAGAACAAGTACCACCTTGGTGACCGATATAAGCCACCACTATAGAATTATTGGAATGTATCAGGACTAGACAAATCCTGGCAAGATGAAAAAAATTATGATCTAATGCACAATGTATGGCCAAAAGCTCCAGGATGTTGATTTGGTAAGGTCACTCGACCGGAGACCACAGACCCGAAGGTTCCTGCTGATCAACCCACATCCCTGGAGGGAAGCATCCATGAAGATATGCAAAACTGGACAAAAGGGAGAAAGTGGAACACCCACCTACATGTGAGCCCTGTCCAACCACCAATGCAGATCATTGACAAGGGAAGGAGGAAGGGAAATAGGAGCCTTCAATGGATCAAACACAAGGTTCCACTAGTTGTGCAGAGCCCACTGAAGAGACCTCGTATGTGCTTGACCCAAGGAGATAAGGGCTTCCATGGAAGACCACATCCTCAAAAGCAATAGAATCTCATGAGCAGTAATAGAAGGAACAGTAATAGTGTAAAGAACTGAAATCTCCATCAAATGAGGTTGAAGAGGAGTAGGTTAGGCCTGACTGAGACGAGTGTTGAAAAAGACACCAAAGTGGTCCAGATATTAGGTAGATATAAGAAATGACTTTTCCAATTTGATTAACCAACCCGCACGAGCTGCTTCCAGGAGTACCAGATGAGTGTGGTGGGTGGAATCCTAATTGGAATGAGCTAAAAGAAGCCAGTCATCCATGTAATAATACGATGAGAGGAGGAACCCCTGGAGGTAGGAACTAGTAAGAGCTGGGAAGAAACAGCACAGGAAACAGTATTAGCAGCTTGTCTAGGCTCTGAATGAGACAACAATCAACCAAAATTTAAAGGGTTGATGGCTGTCTCACTGAATCAACACGGGATTCCAAAGTCTCAGGAATATTTCTAAAAATAAGAAAACAAACCGGTGCAGAAAAGGAGCCATATGCAAGTCCCAGAGATAAGTAGGTGGTAAACAAACTTGGGGCAATACAGTGTCCCTACCCACAAGATCCCAACGACAGAGAAACCACATGTGTAAGAAAAGAGCCAAAGAAGACAAATGTGTTAAATTTATTTTCCAATCTTTTATGGTGGATACAAGGTCGATCAAATCAACCGACACGTTATAGAGTCATCGTATAGAAAATAACAGCTAAAATATAAAGTTTCACTGAAAAAAAAACGTTTGATATTTATTTAGGAGGTTCTAGAGGTTACACACAAATGAAATTTGACAATTCTCAAATGAAAAAAGCATTTTTTTATCTTAACATGAAAAACACTTTGCATTCGGAGCAGTCAACACTCTGGCTCCATATATCTACAGACAAATGTTTTGTAAAAATACTTAATTAAAAATTCTGATTTTTTGTCTACAAAAGACTTGTAAAGTTTACTAAAACCTTGTCAAATTTTGTGAACAGACATTAAGTACATTCACAGTTATAGTATGTATACCTTCATGGTTACAAGTTACTTATAGGTAAAATACACGAGCTCATTACAAGAGGGTTAAACATTGTCATTGTAAAAAGAAACAAATCAGGATATATGTGACACAGAGCTCTAGATATTCACACATTTTTCCTCAAAAAAAAAAAAAACGTATTAAAAATCAAATCTAGGCATACAAAAATGCTTTGAAAATTGGCCAGTACGGATACACTATCTTTATCTGGTGTAAATTTATGTAAGAAAATCAAGCACGTACGACTGGTTTCCTGCTATCCAAGTAAATAAAACATGGCACTTCAATTTTAGCAGAACCACCCAGTCTGATGGAATCTGAGTCAGCAAAAGCTTGTTGACTTTTTATAACATTATCAAGCACTCACGATACACAGATGAGAAAAATGTCATCTCATCAACAGTTTAGTGTGTGGCCAGGATGACTTAAGAAGAATTACACGACAAATACGAATTCACTGTACAAATATTTCACTGGAGATGATAAAACTGAAGACAGTTCAAAGATCATTCTCAAAATTGTAGATGATTTCATCATTTCTTGCACTGAACTTGGCAATCAAACAGCAAAAAACCACTTCTTGGAAGAAAAACTTTTCAAGGTTAGTAGTGGTTGGTGAAGAGGTAGGTAAGAGAATGAAGTGTAGTATTTCCATAGAGAGAAAAGTGAGAAGCATATGGGCAAATGAGAGATCACCTAATATTCAGAAGAACAGTACTGAGAGGCATGGTCTGTCTTCAAAACACCAGCAAACCAAGAAAGGTTTACTGAAGAAATCTGAGGACAAGAGTGAAATATATGACAGTGATGTTGACAAAGAAGATAATTTAACCTCTGTATCAGATGATGACAGAAAATTGTTTCTACAATCTTTTATGTATGAAAGGAGGAGTTGCCATCTGATAAAGTCAACAGTTTACTTCAGTTTCAGAATTTGAATGGAGCAAATATCAAATTTAAGAATTTAAACTATGTAACAATAAATAATATACAGTCATGAAAAATAAAATTATTCAGAGGTCACTTATAGAAGAAATCCTTCAGTTCAAGATGCATGCAATAAGGATAGATGAAAGCACAGATTTATCAATACAGAAACATTTACTAGTGTATATAAGGTATGTGAAGAATGGTGAAGCAGTAACAAAGTTCTTAACAAATGTAGTCACTGAGGATGGAAAAGCTCACACCATTGTCAGTCACCTGATAAAGTGTCTCACTAACCAACCTCAGGCTTGACCCGGCTAAGATTGTTTCTCTAGCAACAGATGGTACATCAACAATTACAATGACAAGTAAAAAGACAGGTGTTGGTGTGCAGATAAAATCAAAGTACTCTTTCTTTGCAGTACAAACCCAGTACAAGCCCATCGCCTAAACTTAGCTGTGACAGATTCAATCAAAAAGTTGGACACTCTCAAGACATTTAGTGATAATTTTAACTCTTTGTATTATTTCACGTGTGGGTCAAGTAACCACATTTCAAAAATCAACAGTATTCAAAAACTGTTAGGTGAGCCTGAACTTACAATAAAAGAGCCACATAGCATAGGATGGCTTGGGCTTAAAAATGCTGTTGAAACTGTGTATGAGAGTTATAACTTAGTCCTGGTTACCCTTTCAAACTTTGCAGAAGAAAAAAAATGCTACCGCCCATTGTTTGCACAAATACTTTTCAGAATATACGACAGTTGATGCTAGTGTCATCTATACTAGATATTCATGACGTTCTTGCAATACTTAGTGAGCAGTTATAAAAACAAAATGTGGTATTTAGTGAAATTCAGCCATTGATGGAAGCAACAATAGCTAAGTTAGATTTTCTATAATCAGGAGATGGAAATGCTGTAAGGAGCATGAGAGAGTGAAGAGAACTTAGAGAAGGAGGAGGAAAAACTAGTGCTTTTATGAATGGAGAAAAACATAAGAAATATTCTGAAAATATTGAAAATGAATTCTCAGACCTGAAAAAGAGGTAAATATAAATATCAATTATAAAAAAGAATATAACACACAGATTCAAAAAAGAAGACAGAGAGATTTTTAAAGACTTTAGCCTTTTGTTGAAACCAGTAGTGGTAAATTTGGCAGGTATTGGTAAAAGTGAAGAAGCTCTTGAGGCTCTTGCACTGTCATATGGAACTGACAAAACAGTTAATGTTGTTCATGGCAGTTTCCAGGGGGAGAATAAACAAAGAGAAGAATAAAAACAAGTCAGCAAACTCTTAGACAAAGAAAAGATTAAAGCAAGAGTGGCTATGATAAAAGGTATGATTTCAGGCTCATACAAACATTTATCTACTCAGAGTCTGTGCCAGAGTGATGACTGAGTTTTCAAAGCTGTGTACAATAGCTCTATGTATAGTTGTTACACGTGTTAAGTGCGAAAGGAGTTTCAGTGCCCAAAATAGAATAAAAAACAAATACAGATGTTCATTGAAAGCAGAAACTCTAGACAGTCTTATGAATATTTAAATGAGTAATATTCAGTTATCAAATAATGATCCAGTTAGAACAGTAAGGCTATGGATTACAAAAAAGAAAAGAAAGGGATGGCTTTGTCAACCATATATGCCAAAGTCTAAAAAGCTAAAGGAGTGCTTGAGCTCCCATAGGTGTTGTTGAACAAGTACAACATGTAGTTTAACATGTAAATATGTTATAGTCGTTTATGCAGTTTAACATGAAAATATGAAAGTTTTTGAAGTTAAAGTTCTTGGTAATCATGCACGGGAAGTGCTGGAATCTTTTAAATTTTGTCACAGTTCAGGATATGTTATTTAGCAGAGGCAGAGCTGTAAGAGACATAGACACAAGAAGTGCAAAGATACTAGTCAGTTATAAATTCAGTTATTCATATTCATTCAACTGTGATGTAAAGACTTAAGCTAGTCATATAATATTTTGAGCAGGCTAGTCAAACTACACACATACCTGTTCTGTGATATAAGACTGCAGGGGAAGTACTTTAAGAAAGAATGGCTTTTTTTCTACCTTTAGACAGAAAACAATCTCTATGTGGCAAAGCACTGTCAAGGTAATGATTTGTACATGCACCTTTTTTTCTCCTTAAGGTACAAATATTTACATACTATATAGCCTAAGCCTTAGGCTTTATAATATGTAAGAAGAATTTTTATGTTAAGGAGACAAAAGGTGGATTGCTTTAAAAAATTCATTGAAATTTTGCTTTTCAGCATTGAGTTTGATTTCAGGGAGTAAATATTGATTGACCTAAAATCTTATCTAGAGCTCTGGTGACACCCTCTTCTTCAGTTCAGAAAAGGTTAAGCCTAAAAAATTAAAACATGTACTCTTTTTTTTTTTTACTGAGATTTTTTGTAACAATAAATGTATAACCTGCTATAACAGTCCTGCATTGTTCTAAAAGTATGGTTAATAAAAATGGATTTAAAAGCTAAATTGGAAAGCTTCCATTTAATGATTTCTTTCAGGTTTAATCTAACTTAAGTTTGTAATATTCTGCTAGAATATATCATAGATACTACCTACTTTAATTGCAACAGGATAAATTATCCCTCCAACTTCAAAGCTGCCTTTTTTAAACATCATTACTGATGTATTATTGATACATGTCCCTGGGGAAAAAAAGAAGTAAAGTGAACTAACAAATCTAAGCACTGATACTTTGATGCTTCTAATCTCAAAATAAAAACAGATACATATATTTAAAGAAATATATATTAATGTGCTTCCTATCATACAAAGTTTACAAAATACTGTATGTTAAGAAAACAGGAAAATGGAATTTTGAGACTAAATATGTCCTGCCTTTATATTTCTAACTTTTAAGCATTTTCTGGGTTTAAATCTTTTCATATAAAACAGAAAGCAAAATAAAAGTAAAATCAAAATGTACTTTGATGTGTACTTCTTAATAATGACAATTTATTTTACAAATAAATGAAATAAAAAACCTATCATGACACAATTTTTCAAGAAGTAAAAATTTACACACACGTAGCATACAAAGCCTACCCTTTGAAATGATCATGCTAAATGACTTATTTAAAAAAACTGTCAATAGAAAAAAGTTAAAATCTGTATGACCACCAGCTCCTATATTCTTTCAATGACTAAGTTTTGTTTCCTCTTCCAATGTTAACTTTATTTTTTTTATTCTTCTTCATCTATTCAATTCAGAGTGAGTATATCTCCGTCTTCCAGAAATCTTATCCTCAATTGATATCTCTACTTAACCCGATATTTGCTGGGGCCATTTTGTCTTATTGTGAGGGCAAAATCATTTGTGAATTGAAAAAATGATAGAGAACTTATCTTTTAATGGATTTCTGATTTTATTTTTGTAAATAGTAGCATAACATTCAATTATTTGTACAAAATTGTATTATTTAATGAAGTTTAAAGAGGAATTTAATGAAAAAATTCCTAAAATACGTTTTAGACTGTAAATAAGCGCCCTCTAAGAAGAAATGTTTTTTTAAGATATTTCCTTTCACTTCAGCACTGGTCCTGTCATCTATGATTGGTATCTAAACCTTTTTCTAGTCTGTTTTCTTTATAAAACTGCGTCT